GCAGCGCTGCCCACAGCTCTGGTGGAGGAAGGCCCATCCCGCCCTTCTGGCCACAAGCCTCTCTGTCGGATGAAGGACAGTCCTACAGCCCATCTGTGTCTCCCACTTCTGTGTCACGTTCCCGGCCCCAGGATCCAGAAACCCCTGGGCTCAAGGGGTGGCTAGAGGCTGGCTGTGTATAGGGGTGGTGGTGTAGACGGAGCTTGGACGGCAGGCTAGGGGGTAGCAAGAGAAGTGGGGGTGAGCTGGAGACCCCGGGCTGGGGGCTAGTGAGAAACTCTCCAAGGTGTCTGATAATTCTAAATTTAAACAAAGCCTTTGAGGTCATTATAAGATAGATTTTATGTTGTGGAGACGTATTTTCAAAGTGGGATGGAACCTATTTTACTGACTAGCTTAGTAGCTTGATGTATAACATGAATATCTGGGCACGTGGTACGTCGGCCACTACGTACTCTGGCCCGGCCCTGGCAAATGTGGGAGGCAGGCCTTAATAAACCTATTGAGCCCCCTCAGGGATAATCACCAAAGCTCCCTTCAGGCCAGGCTCCCTGGTGGTAGCCCTGTGCCCTTCTCCCGAGGAGGTGAGAGAGGGAAACATTTGATGGATGCCAGTTATGTGCCTGAATCTGACCCGGGCCCTTTCCCTCACATGACCCGATTTGGGTCTGTCAACCAGGCTGCCCGGTGGGTATCCCATTGCCAATTTATAAACAAGGAATTGGAGGCTTAGTGACATTTAAGTGCCTGAAGTGTCAAAGCTGGGATTCTAACCCGCATCTGTGTACCCCAAACCCAACAGCCTCCCACGCTCCTTCTAGAGAGTTCCAACTTGCTTCTGCTGTCCTCTCCACCAGGATTCACAAAGGGCAAGGAGTCAGTCACTTAAATGGGGTTTCAGTGAAGCCTGTGCCGCTGCTTTGGGGGCGGGGGAAACCTTAAGTTTCCAGAACCTTTTCTGGTTGACCCTATTTTTGTTCCCAAAGGGGCGAGGCGCAGGCAGCTTGAGCAGGGAGAGTGCACTCCAGTAAAGATCTGTATGAATTTGCTGGGGGAGCGAGAATGAGAAAGGGAGAGGGGGACGGTTTCACCCCAAAGAACCTGGGCCTTGGAATCAGTTTCGGTTTCAAGCCCAGGCCCTGGATTCTGACTGGGTCGCTTAACCATCCAGAACCTCATGTTTCAATATCGGTGAAAATAGAGCAGTGACATACGGGTGTTCTGTGAGGCCGGAATGGAGCTCCCGGGGAGGTGGCGGGTGCATGTTCTCATGTCTTTTCTCTCCCCTCCGCCCCACTGTAGACTGAATCACCCGGGCCCTTTTTGGCATTTTTGCAGACTTCTACAGCTGAGAAATCTAAAAATAAACTTGAATTATGGTGGGTTTAGCCCTCGAGATCCCTGGCAGGCACTTCTGTGTAGATAGCAGAAGTGAAAAAAAAAAAAAGGTCATTTTATTTCTAGTATTTGAACCCCTCTGGTGTGGGCGACTCAGAGTGGAGGGGTGGGTGGTAAGGGGGAAGGTTTGGTATTTTTTACTTTGTTGTTGTGTTTTGGTTCTGTGATGATGTGGGGGACTCTCCAGGTATGTGTCACAGAGCAGCGGGGAGATGGGGGAGGGGAAGGCCGGGCAGGTGGGAAATTTGATTCTGGCCCTGACGTAATAGAGCAGGGAGGGGAGGGGGTGTGTCTGTCAATGGCTGGAAAGGGGGACCCCACGCTCAAAGGTCTCATGGCTGTAACGCTCTTCCTACCTCAAGCTCCGAATCACAGTTGGGCAAGTTCCTTAATTCATTTTCAGTGAGCTTCTGAAGCAAGGTCGTCTTTGGGGACTTGCCTGATTCCTGAAATGCATGTATGAGCATCAGAGACTTGGTTTCAAGGGTGGGTGTGTTTGTGGGAAATGGACCAATGAAAAGAGTAAGCAAGAGGTTGGCTGACTTGACCGTGGGCCCCCACAGATAAGAGTCACAAGTTCTTACTCTTGTTATTTTTAACAAAATGCTTTCCCACCACTCAGATCTAATTTTTCACTCTTCCTCCATGTTTTATAGGCTCCGCGAGATGAAGTGAATAGTCCTAAGTGGAAGGGCTTGACTTGGCCGCTTCCTTCTTTCCACAAGGCTGGCATTGACCATCCTAATAATGGTGTGCATGTTGGGCTCGGGACCCAAGGCTTGGGGAATCCAATTCTCCCAAAATTTGCCCTGTGACCTTGACTTCTGCAACTCTTTTTAAATTTTTTTAAATAAAAAATTTTTTTTTCTTGTATATATATATTTTTTTATTGAAATACAGTCAGGTTACAATGTTGTGTCAATTTCCGGTGTGCAGGATAATGCTCCAGTCATACATGAATATACATATATTTGTTTTTGTATTCCTTTTCATCATAAGTTACTACAAGGTATTGAATATAGTTCTCTGTGCTATATATACAGTATTAATTGATCTATTTTATGTATATTAGTTAGTGTCTGTAATTCTCAAACTCCCAGTTTAACCCTTCACACCACCTTCCCTCCGACTGGTAACCACTGTTTTTTTAAATGGACGTAATGACACTGTCTGCCAATGTCTTTCAGAAGAGGAGTAAACACCAAATAAAAACACATCATACTAGGCTTGGTATTGGCACTGATCTAGAAGTCTCTGAAGGTAACTTCATGGAGAAGGTAACCAAGTTTGTCTCCTGTTTCCACCACAAATAACCAGAGGGAAGGGGGTTAAGTGGCAAAAGAGGCTGTGAGACAGGTCCCAGGGGGAGCTTCCTGACTGGAGGGGTTGAAAAAATGCAGGAGCATCTGGAAGGAGTGACATCTCTGCAGTCCCCTGAGCCTCCAGCACCTTTTGGTGGTGGCCAAATCACCACCTTTTACAAACACTCGCCAGTGCCTGTATTCATTCTACTTGAGCCAGCTCAAATGCATCTCCCGCCCCCAGAATTCCTGGCATCACCGGCATCACCGGCATCACCGTGAAGAATCATGGGCTTTTCTTCCTGCTCCGCAGTGTGTCTCTGGTACCTCTGTTTAGCACCCATGTCGCTCTCCCTGACCACAGCCAAGCCCTTGAGTCCCTCCCTTCCCTGAGATCTCAGGGGGCAGGGATGGGTTCTGTTCATCTTTATCATCACCCATACCTAAGGTTAGCACCTGGCACAGAGTCCGTGCTCATTAAAGATGTGCTGGACTTCACAACAGTGAGCTACTGCCTGTTGGTGGTGGTTTTTTTTTGTTTTAAACCTTGTTAAATTTGACAAGCAAAATTGATAATGCTTATCATGCACTTTGGGCCACGCCAATATGCGTAAAAATAGGTATTGTCATACTCTGTTGATAGGAAATTAAACTGGTTCAACTTTTTTGGAGAACAATTTGAATTACTTAGAATTTTGTATGCCTTCTGACCTAATTATTTTCTTTTCTTTTATTAAAAAATATTTTAAAAATTTAAAATGGAGATACTGGAGATTGAACTCAGGACCTCATGCATGCTAAGCATGTACTCTACCACTATCTATACCCTCCCCCTCTTTTATTTTCTCTCTTCTTCTTTCCCCTCCCCTCCCCTTCCTCTTTTCTTTCCTCTCCTCTCCTCCCAAAGGGTTAGTGAATGGCTTTTCGTAAATTATTGCTGTTTTTATATTCATAGCATTTTTTTTTATAAAACACTAGCAAAAATGGGGCCAGTATGGATTTGGATAAACTGTGGTTTGTATATAGGGTAAAATACCATGTAACCACACCAATGGATGATATGTGAATATTTGTTAACCAAATCAACAAAGTGACAAAAGCCAATTACAAAATAAGAAGCATGGATTGATTCTACTTTTGAAGAAACCATAAAGATACATCCATGGGAAAACGTCCGGGAGGATTTACACCTAAACATTTTGACCCTTTATTGGGGTGGTGGGATTTTAAATTTCTTTTAACTTCTCTCAATTTTCTCTATTTCCTACCATGAACATGCATTAGAACATGGAAAAACACTTTTCAAGGCCTTGAGTGGATTCTGAGTCACTCCTTGGCCCTCAAATTCTGAAAAACCACAGGAACCAAATCAAAATGTGGGAAGTCAGGGTTGAAAGAGCTGTTCTTTGGGACAGAGACTCCCAGACTAGGCTCACACTGGAGCTTCGGTCCACACCCTGTGCCGGTAAGTCAGAATCACCGGGGTGGATCTGGGCATCCGAGTGTTACATCTCCCTAGGTAACTCTGCTGTGCAGCCAACTGTGGGAGCCACCACTGGTGAGCTGCACTGTCTAATCCAGCAGCCACCAGCCACACGCAGCTCTTCAAATTTTATTGAAATTAAGGAAAATGTAAAATTCAGTTCCTGAGTCACACTAGCCACATTTGAAGCTCACAAGAGCCACGTGTGATGAGTGGCTACCATCTTGGTGGCTCTAGATCTACTCAAATTTCAGCAGAGGAGACTAGAGAGGTTCCTGGCAGGTGGACTCCCTCCCAGCAGCCCTGATGCTCCCGGGGGTTGGGGGTGGGGGTGGGGGGGATGAGAAGGTCTCTAGCCTTGCCTGCTCCAGGGTCCAGAACAGATCTGCCTAGGGCATCAGTCATTGTGTACCTAGAAAGTTCCTTCTGCTTTCTCAGGTCTTCCCCATCCTCCTCCTTGAGCATGGGGAAGCCTCCGGCCACCTGATTGTTTTCAAGGGCTTGAAAGGCCCAGGCCCTCCTGACCTGTCGAGCCCGGTGGGGCCAGCAGGCGAGCTGTTTACATGGAATCCAAGTGCTTGGCGGAGAGCAGAGCCGGGCTGAGTGTTTGCCACTGCTGCTGAGATAGGTGAGTGAGCCCGGGGCAGAATAACAAAAAGCCACTTCAAAAACACAGCAGACGAACTCAGAAAGCAGAGACAGCCAGAGGTTTGAGACCCACACACCCCCGTGAAGAAGAGCAGGAGAGCAAAAACAAGTCAAGGGGGAGCCTCGAGACCTTCTGGTTTCGAGACGGTCGCGGTTGCTGACTTTGAGAACGGGCCTGTCCCAGCAGTTCTGAGAGGAGCCAGGAGCTGAGGCTGTGGGAGCTCAAAAACCTCACCTGAGTTCTGAGAACTGTGCGACCCGGTGGGGGGACAGTCCCTGAGTGCTCCGTGTCCCTGGGAAGACAGGGTATGTGGGAATGGCGGGGTCAGCCTGGCTGGGTGAGGGCAGGGGGATGTTTTAGCCTAGAGACTAGTTGCTGGTTGGAAGCAGAAGCCCACCTGGCCGGGGGTCCTGGGACCTGCCGCCTGGGAGATGGATGGATGGATGCATGGAGATGGCCGTGGTCCAACAGGGAATTCACAGGCATGGGCTGCCCATGTCCAGGAAACTCCCCTTTCAGGAGTTTCCCATTTCCTAAACTCTGCCGTGGCGGGGTGAAGTGCAGTGAGGAGAGCCCTGGAGTTGGAGGACTTGGCTCAAGTCCTAAGCGCTGTCACTTACTTGCTGTGTGACCTTGGGTAGGTCGGTTTACTCTTCTGGACCTTAGTTTCTTGATCAATAAATGGAAAGTTTGCTCTGACCGATGGTGCTCAACCCAGGCTACACGTTGGAATAATTCGGTGAGCTGCACAAATAAGCCAGATTCTGCTTGTTCTGGGATTCAGCCTGAGCATCAGGAGTTTAAAAATCTCCTTAGATGATTCCAGTGGGTAGCCAGGATTGAGAAGCCCTGGTCGAGCCAGCTTCTCCAGTGTGTCACGCTTGGGAGTCACTTCGTTATTTAAAAAAAGATTGTTTTTAATCGAGGTACTGGAGATTGAACTCAGGACCTTGAGCATGCTAAGCATGCCCTCTACCACTGAGCTATTATCTCCACCCCTCTACCTGTGAGTCACCTTGTTAAAATTCAGATTCAGATTCCGTGGGCCTGGCTTAGGGCCTGAGAGTCTGCATGGGCCACATGCTGTATAATAGCAAGTCTATCTTTAATGTCCGCTTCACTCTAACCAGGAAGCTGAGTTCTAAGCTCCGGCAACTCAGTCTGTTTTTGTTTGTTGTTTTGGTAGGTGGCAGTAGTTACATCTTTTTTTTTTTTAAATGAAGCTACTAGGAATTGAACCCAGGACCTCATGCATGCTAAGCATGCACTCTACCACTGAGCTGTTACCCTCCCCGCAACAGTTACATATTTTTGCCCATAGACATCATTCTTCTGCATTCTTTCTTTTTCCTCCTTTTCTTTTGAGAATTGTTTAAATTCTCATCATTGAATTCTGACTAGATGCTGTGGATGTGAATTAAACAGGGATCTTCCCTTCAAGGGCAGAACATGACAGATAAAGCCAGACTGTGATGTGAGTCCAAGGTGGGGCAGAGTCCATTTTTATTGGGAGGACTGGAAAAGACTGTCCCAATTCTGAGATAGTTAAGAAGCATTGAGCCTCCACCTCTGCTGGGCACTTTGAAGAGCTTTACACAGTTGTCTCATTTAATTCTCACAGCACCGTGGTAAGCCCTGATAATGTCCCCCAGTGCACACATGAGGAAACCGAAGTTTAAAGAGAATCAGAGACTTTTCCAAGCAAAGAGCAGTGCTGGAACTTGGACTCACATCTCTGTATTGACTAGTCCACAGAGATCACAGGCAGTGTTTGAACTGCATGCCCAACCAGGCCCAACCGAATCTAACCAGATCCAGCCAGACCCAACCAGACCTAGCTTCTTGGCACCAAGTTGTTGTTGGTGGGGAGAGCGGTGGGATGGGATTTTCATGAGCATAGACAACTTAAGCAACCTCTCCACTGACTTTCCATATCCCTGCAGTTAGAAAAGGGCAGATGGTAAACAGTTTTCCATTCTCAGGCCTTGAGCCCAGGCCTCAGGGCCCTTGCATGAAGCTTGACCCCTGGGGTCATACTTTTCCCCACCTGGCTGCCTGTCCCAACATCATTCTCTGCTGTCTGCATCTCTTCCTGCTTATATCATTTTCTGTTCTCCAAGGGAGCAGCCCGTGTGTCCAGCTTTGTGACTGTCTTATCTTCTTTCTTGTAGGCTTGGCCCTCATTAGGAGCCTAGAGTATTACTCCTCACCCCCAAATACTGCTTCCTGGGAGATCATCTGAGGCTACCATGATGGCTGCCGATTCTAAACCTCTCAGATTCCACTGGCTTCTTGGCCGGAATGATAGTCAACAGCCAACCCAATAGTTTTTCCAACTTGACTCAACCTATCTTGTCTTCCTGGGAACAGAGTTGTGGGACTAGGGTGGGGAGTAGAGAATGAGAAAATAGGAATGGAGGCTTCCTTGTGCCCCAACTAGATCCGGAGTTCCTGGAGACAGGGGCTTTATTTTTTCCTTTCTGTCTCCCCAGGATAAAGTATGGCGCTGAGCAGATAGATGCAGACTCCTGTTTATCAGATGAGTGAATGAAGGGGACTTGGGTGCATTTTCTGACTGCACTGGGTGAGTGACAGTACTGATATCTTACCCTGCCTGGCCTTAGGCAGGAGTCCCCTGGCACAGGCTTCACCTTGTGAAGACCTCAGAACCCTGTGGGCACAGTTACTGGGAAATCTATCTTTCCTTTCTTTTCCTTTCCTTTCCTTTCCTTTCCTTTCCTTTCCCCTCCTCTCCTCTCCTCTCCTCTCCTCTCCTCTCTTCTCCTCTCCTCTCCTCCCCTACCCCTTTCATTCTTCTTTCTTTCTTTCTTTCTTTCTTTCTTTCTTTCTTTCTTTCATTCTTTCTTTCT